AGAGAGAGAGAGAGAGAGAGAGAGAGAGAGAGAGAGAGAGACAGAGAGAGAGACAGAGAGAGAGACAGAGAGAGAGACAGAGAGACAGAGAGACAGAGAGACATATAGAGACAGAGACAATGACAGAGAGACAGAGACAGAGAGACTGAGACAGAGACAAAGACAGAGAGACAGAGACAGAGAGACAGAAACAGAGAGAGACAGAGAAGAGAGACAGAAACAGAGAGAGAATGAATCTGAAATGGAGAATAGAGAAGTGCCCCTCTGATTCCTCCCCCCATGCAGAATGGTCTTGTGAGCAGGCTCCCTGCTAACAGCATGTGTACCTATGGGCTCAACACTGGATAAGCTCACTGTTGACCATAGCACCCATGTAATCCAGTGATGTTCTGTACACATGAACATTTGCATACACATTTTGGGAGGAACCACAACAAATACTAATGCTACTCCCTCTGTGAAAATGTCTCTAATGTTCTTTAAAAGTAAGGGTGCAATCGCTCACTAAGTCAGTAGCCTAAATGCATACTGGCCTGTAGCTCTACAGTATAAACTCTGAGTCACGATGTGTACAATCTCCCCTACTTCTCTATGGGTCCTGGAACAGAAGTGATAATATCCTAGTAGCTGACATCGTGGTGTACTCCTGGCGTGTCATACACCAAAGACATGTCTCTGTCTCAAGCCAAACCTAATCTGTGTGACCACTCGCTTTCTGTGAAGATCAGTGCTTGGTCATGAAAAATAAGGATAAGCTGGATATCTATCTCCAATCAAAACAAGGCTCCAAAACGTGAATAGCTGCTGTTTAAGGATGCTCTGCGTTAAGATTTATGGTGAAGATGAAGCTCAGAAACTATGAGGTTGGAGAAAAAAGTTCTTGTGATAAAACATTGTTTTTGGTCAGTCTAGAAAACCCAATCTAAACAATGGGAGAGTTTTGTGTAACTGCAATCCCAAAAATTCAGTCACCTGAAACAGGCTGAGGAGAATTGGCAAGATTTTTCTCAAAATAGCAGCAACAAAAATAAGACATGAAAAGACAACTCCAGTAAATCCACCTCTTGGTTCAGAACTCAGTAATGTCAAAAAGAGAAGAAAAGAAGAAACAAGAGAAACAGTGAATCTATGAGTATATATAGTGAGTGCAAAGGACACAGAATGTGTCTTTTAAGGGTAACAGTACCAAGTTGGAGAAACAAATTTCCAACTGACAGGAAAAATAATTTTGTCATCATTAACCTCTGCAAGATTAGTTTTCATTTCCTGGATGGGTGAGGTGAATATAAAATGAAGATGGAGAATTTGTCCTCAAGACATGCTCTTACCAGTGTCATTGGAGATCTCATTGTCCGGGCACAGGGTGCAATCAAAACAACAAGCAGGCTTTCCCTCCTGAGAGCTTTTCCTAAATCCAGGATGGCAACTCTCACTGCATACAGAGTGCAGAGCCTGGGGAAAATGTATGTTAGTGAGTTCTTAGAATATTACCACTCCTTTACAACTTGAAAGAAAAACAATTTGTATGCACACATAAATAATATTATCTATATACATGTGCAAATTGCCATATTTGTCAATATAAAATTTACAGCTATCATAAAACATAGTTAAATATGTTGCTTCCAATTCATTGAGAAGCAATGAGAAAATTTATAAAATTAAAAACTGAGAACTTTAATTACCAGCTACCCATCTCAAGAGCAGAATTTGTGGTACAATATCCATGACAATAGTGTGGATATTTGTTGTTAATGAACTGCGTTGTGATTATGCCCAACACACCTCTGCAGTTCCTGTGGCCCACTCGATCATATCATCACATAAAGACAATTTTGGGCCGTGTGAAACGTGTTGGGTAAATGTCCCAAGTTTGACCTTAAGTTTAAGACCCTCTGGAAAATTCCAAAAGTTGAGAATGTCATAGTCTACATCCAGTTTCTTTCTGTCGTCCAAATGCACTTGATCTCCAGCAGGATTGGAAAATTGGATGTTCTTCAAAATTCGGTGGAGCTAAAAGAGACATCATCCTCTGGTGAGTGAGGCCTCAAGATTAAGTCAAGAATGAACTAAGGAATGCTCCTAATTATTTCAATCTTTATCTCATAATGAAAGCTTTATGCTGGAATTTGATAACTTAGAATAAATAAAATCTTATATAGAAAAACACACCATATTTTTCCTTAAAAGTCATAAGATAAAACTTCCCAAACTTATTTAAATAAGATTGTCATGGATGTTAGAAAAAATTAATAATAGGTGCTTCATTTGTTTTGTCTCTCAATGATCCCATAGCATGAACTTGCCTAAAAGAAATTGTCCCTAGCAAAAGAAATGGCAGTATCAAGTGAGAAGCTCAAATAATATGTATTGCAAAGGTTTTAACACAATTTAAATTCAAGAATGAAGAAGCTTCCTGTTGCCCTTTTAGAAAATCAGGGAAAAATATTTCGATTTTATAAGAAATATGTTTTCAACTTGGGCACTGACTTCCTATGCACTAAAGTCATGATCTTGGTTCATATTGATTTTTTTGATACTAAGGCTTCCTTCTGAGTGACCAGCTCTTCAATAATGAGCTGGTGTAAGATCACAAATTTGTTGATATAAAATTTTTTAACTTCTCCAATGAAGTGCATACGGTACACTGGCTTAAATGGTACCCTGAATGCTATTACAAGAAAAGATGATTTACCTGCCAGGGGGAAAACGTCATCCCTTCTTTGTTTCCCATCGATGATGGCATTTGTGCTTCTTCAAGAAGCATCTGGTGGAGGGCATGGGCCACAGCATACACAGCATTGTGTGTATTGTGACTCCAATCGGTCATGGCTGTGTCAAAACGGTTCACAGGCAGCCATGCCAGAGAGGCATTAGGGGTACAGTCCTTCAGCGAACAATCAGAATCAGAGAAAGAGCAGTGGAAATTCTGGAACCAAAACACGGTGAGGTAAAAGTCTTCTGGGTATTTGACAGGGTTGACTGCTTCGACGAAAGTTGAGAAACCAGAAATTTTTTCATGGCGGTTTGAAAAAATGAGCGCCCCATGGAATGAATTAAATATGAAACTTTTGCCTGTCATATCAGCATGCCATTGTGAGTTTGTGACCCAAACTTTGCCTGTGAGTAAGTAATTCTCTAGATTATAATTTACATCATTTAGAAAATCAGTGTCATAATAAATGACTATCACATTTACTTGTGACATTTCCTTGGTCAGGATAATATGTTGCTTTGTAAGTGCCATATATGATACAAGGGGAGTTGAGACCATTTTTACAAATGCTGCACAGATTTGGTTCCTCTCCATCTCCCCTGTGACATCTAGGAGAAACTGATGACCCTTCTGACCGTCCATAATGACCAGCCCCACCCAGGTCCAGCTGAAATGAAGCATCAAGGAGACCATAGCAAAGGCCAGCGATGTGTCCTTCGGGGCTACCTGATAGACAGAAGGAAACTGTCCATCGTCTCTTAGCATAGGATCAAAAGAACCAAATGTAACCTAAAAGGAAAGAAAATGGGAAGGAATAGCAGGAAGAGTGTTGACCAAAAGACAAGTTCAGGTCTGGAGAATACTAAGCAACAGCAGGAAAGGTCATGTGGGGAGGCTATTCATCCAGCTTTTCTCATTATCTCCCTGTGCTTCTGTGAAAACAGCTGATAAGATTTAGAATTTTAGGAAATAATTGTTTTCTTCTCTTGCTATTTTTTGCTGTACATAAGGAAAGTGTGAGCAAAACACCAACTCTCTTATACTTATGTATTCAAATCAAACACTTAAAAAACTGTGTTTTGAGCAGGATGCCTCTTCCGCTCTGGGAATCTCATAATTTCACCAACATAGACATAGTTTCCCTTCCTTTGCCTCACTCAGTCTCACCTGTGGAAACTTGTAGAGCTCCAGCAGGCTTCCAACGTGCGTAGCAGTTGCCCATGTGGTCCCTGTTAGCACTGCCACAGCCTTTCTCCCTCTCCTGCAGGAGTAATTAGGGATCTCATCCTTTCCTGTGAGCAAAATGAGGGAACTCTCCAGCATCCTCCAGTGACTGTAAAGGAAATTGTGAACCTCATATCCCAGAGATACGTTGGGTAAAAGGTGAGGATCCTTGTTGATCTCTTCTATAGCAAATAGGAAAGCTAGAACATTCTGGTAGCTGTTGGGCATATGCCTGCATAGAGAGCACAGAGGACTTCACAGTAAAGATTTAACCTAAAATTGAGTTACAATCTAGTGCACTAGCATTTATGAACTGAATGTCCATGGTTCTCCCCCTTATTCATTTTATAAGACCTGAAGCATAAATACAACATTCTTAGTGACAGTGATTTTCTTTTGTGTTAGATGAGAACTTATTTAGGGTTAGATGAGGACTTGTGGGTGGATTTCTCATGACTAAAATCAGTGCCTCAGATTTCAGGACAATCACTTTGCTGTCTTGTTATGTTAGTACTTACTGGTCAGATGGTCACTGATAAGCTAGAAAACTGATTCTTTTCCTTGTTTGAGCCAAAAATGTTCAATATGAAGAGTTATTGTTGTAAATACAAAGTTGGTTTTATATTTTTATACAGCAGATAAAATTCTACCGATATATTTTTTTTCCTGGTACTGGGAATCGAACTCAGGACCTTGCACTTGCAAGCAAATGCCTGTATCACTAAGCTATATCCTGGTCCTTCCATCGTTATCCTAACTAATGTTAAATGACCAAGAAATTAACTTCATCTTTAAATAACTGACTCCAAGTAGTCTTAGATTTTTCAGTTAAACAACACAAAATACACATTTTGTATTATAACAATAATACACAGGAAAGTGGAAATACTTACAAATCAGAAATATAATGTTAAATGAAATGTCTGTGACACATCAATAAACACATCTGAGGGGTGATTATGGTGTAGCAAAAGGTTGAAATTGAGTTTCCTAAGACTTCCTCATTGAAGTTATGCATCTGCAATTCTGAACAAGATCAAGACAGCAGGCATAACGATTCCAGACTTAAGATACACTACAAAAGTAGTGGTAAAAACAGTACAAAACTGACAAAACCTGACTTTTAGATCAATGGAAAAGAAGAGGGAGAAACAACCTCAGGTATACTCAACTAGGTTATCTTTGATAGGGACTCAGTCCTTTCACTGGATGAAAGATAGTTTGTTGTTGTTTTTTTAACAAATGCTGCACAAAAACTGACTATATGCATGCCAATATTTGAAACTCTACCAATATCTCTCAACATGTACTAAACTATATGGAAGTGGATTGAAGATCTCAACATTAGAAAAAAAAAAAAACAATCAGAAGACAAAATAGGTGAAACACCTGAAAACAGGTGTGGGCCAAATTTTCTGAGCAAAACTCCAGTTGCATGAGAAACATTACAAAGAAGCAACAAGAGAGATGACATCAAATTACGAAGCTTTGCAAAGGAACAAATCCATGGACAGATTGAAAAGACAACTACAAAATGGGGAGATTTTTGCTAGATTCTCTTCAAAGGACTAAGATGAAGAACATGCAAAGAACTCCAACAATCACTCTTCAAATTTAAACGATACAATCAAAGTAGGCAATTAAATACATGAAAAAAAAATGTTCAACCTTAGTAGTCACTTGAGAAAAAAAAAATTAAAGCAACACTGAGACTCTGTCATACCACTGAAAAAAATGGTGACCATCAAGAAAGTAAAAACTAACACATCCTGGCAAGCTGTGAGGAAAAGGAGGCCTTCTTCATTGTCGGTGGGAGTGTAAACATGTTCACCCACCGCGGAAATCAGTATGGAGATTCCTCAAAAAGTTCGGAGTAGAAACTGAATTTAATTGAGATATTCCCCTTCTGAGTATCTTCACAAAAGCATTAAAGACATCTTATACTCGTATATACATATAATCACAGTTTGCAATTGCTAAATCTTGGAAACAGCAGGTGTGTCCATCCTCAGAAGAACTGTTAAAGAAAATTTAGTGTTTATACACAACACAGTACTGCTTTACTGTACAGGAGGATGTACTAGTCATTTGTAAGAAAATGGATAAAACTTGAGACCATGATGTTAAATGAAGTAAATCAAACACAAAAGCTTAAAAATCACACGGTTTTATATTAAAAACTCAACATATGCAGTTTGTGAAATAAAAGACGGATAATAGGAAAAAAGAGAGGTAAAGCTATTGGAATTCACATAGACAATATATACATAAAGTATATCTTGTGTTGATTTAGTATAACTGTCTTAAGAGTTTTGTGTGTTTTTGTCACACTAGTCTGGTTAAAATCAGTGCATATGGGGCCAGGTAGATGGCTCAATAGAATAAGTGCTTGTCTGAGAAGCACAAGGGTCTGAGTTCAATCCCTGGTTCTGGAAAAAAAAAATCAGTGTATATGATGATAGACTTCATATGGACCTAGAAGATAAATCTGATGCTGGAAAAATAAAAGGAGGATGTGGAAGAAAAATCGATGTAGTTGTGTCACGTATATATACCAATTCACCACAATGAATGTAATCACTATATGCAGCAATCATGTTCTAATAAAATGAAAAATGAACAAATAAAAGCTTCCCGATTTTGACTTTAAAAAATAAAATTTAAAAAATCACCCAAGATACTGAAGTTAAAATATTGAAGGTAAATTATACAAATATTGCTATTGTACTCAACGAGGTTGAAAGATCATGTCTAATACAAACTGAGTCTAAAAGAATTTGCAGGTCACTTCTCAAATGTCACACTAGAAACTAATGCAGCGGGGCACACCCTTGATCCTAGCTCAGGGTCACGCAGATGAAGCAGGACAACTACATGCTCAAGCCGGCTGGGACCGGTTAATACTCAGCGTGTCTCTTTCCCAAAATTAAAAAAAATTAAATCAGGTTAGTGATCTAGCTCAGCGTCCAGGCCTGGTTCTCAATTCCCACTATTGAAAATAGTGTCCTCTTCTAGTAATTTCTTAACAGAAAGTGGATATGTGAAACATAAAGTGTGTTTTATATAAAATTCACCTGAGATTTCTGTAAATAGCCAACAGTTTTCAACAAAGAATTATCTCAAGGTCCAGGGGTATAGACAAGTGGCACAACACTTCCTTGTTTCTGTTCCCAATAACAAAATAGGGACCAAGGCAATATTTCTGTGTTATCATTAAAATTATTTAACATCATGCTGGAGTTCTAAAGCCATAAAATAAATATTTGATAAAATAGGGGGAGAGATAGAGACAGAGGCAGAGACAGAGACAGACAGACAGACAGAGACAGACAGAGGCAGCTATTATCCTACATGTGTCATTACAAAAGTTCCTAATTTTTTAAAGTGTCCTCACATTTCTGCAAGAAGAAAATCAATGTGCTTATCCACATACAGTATTTGCTGCCATAAGGAAACTAATAACAGATAAAGTGGGTACAAATGCAAGACCATTTTGTATCTGTACACTGAAAATAGTTAGGATAGATATACAGCTCCATTCTCTTAATTCAATGAATAGAGACATTTTTTATAATAGTGTTTGAGACAGGATATCATGTCTGCATCTTGTACAATGAATAACCACTAAGACAACAATATGCAATGTATTAATTATTGAAACTGTCCTACTAATCTGTTTTTCTTCTTTCTGGTTTTTTTTTTTTTTTTTTTTTTAACGGAACCTGGGATTGAACTCAGGCCCTTGTGCTTGCCAGGGAAGCACTTATTCCACTGAGCCATCTCCCCAGCCCCTTACTACTAATCTGTCTTGAAATTGTCTACTTGCTATTTGTTTCTTAATAAAATTATTTTAAAAAGAAGAAAGAAAGAAGCTACATAACAATTTTTACTAATTTAAATATATATATACAAGTATACTATTTATATTACAGACTTCCTATTACAAATTAAAGATAAATATTATGTCACCTATATGATGAATTTTGAAAAGGTAACTATTGTTAAATAAATTGAAGAGGCACTAAATAATTTTTGAATTAATATAGACAGTTATAAATTATTCATTGTAATGCCTTGCAAAGAGAAGCAAAAAAAGCAAAACAGTACCTGAATTTTCTAATACTTGAAATTTCATGTTTATTTCACCTTTTAAAATGATAGTTTATGCAAAATATTCATATAGAGAGGGCCAGGGAGATGGCTCAGGGGAATAAGTGCTTCCCTGACAAGCGCAGGGCCTGAGTTCAATCCCCGGTTGCACAAAAAAAAAAAAAAAAAAACCATATAGAGACAGTGAATCTTGTTTAAAATACCATGTATAAAGTTATCAATTAATCCTTTATTCAATAGGCAAAATATTTTTGAACTAGTAAAAACACTTATAGCAAAATACACAAATTATAAATAATAAGACATGAAGTAACATATTATTAAGGAAACACAGGAAATATAATCACTCCAAGTATTAAACATAAGTAAATATAATGACATCACATTATTTGCAACCATCAATTTAGGGCACTTGATTGAGGTAAAAAACTAAGGAAAAAATATTTCCCTGTATGACATCTAAAGTGTTCATTATTATGTTTCTAAATGGTTGTTGGATATTAAAAATAAAAGCATTTCCTAATGCAGCGAGGTTTAGACCCAGCCAATTTCCTTCTCAACCATTCGCTTGCTCTAACCAGAGACTATGCATCTGCATAGTCGTGCACTACAGTACAATGTCTACCAACCATCTATTAACGTCCTTATTATAGAGACATAACACAAGGAACCAATTAGAAATTTAGAAAGTTCCATATCATAGTAAAAAATAAAGTTTCCAGCCTTACATATGTCATGGAGGCAGGTGAGTTTTCCTTGACATATTGATATGTATGTTGATACACATGTCATATTCTGTGTGAGGGAGGAAATGGTTTGCAGTAGCACAGAACCAGCACATCCTGCTTTGAATCTAGTACCTATGTGTGGGTGTGGAAAAGTCTACGATATTATTGTGACTATGTCCATTATTAGAGCCATGGCATTTCTGAATACCTGGGACATCTGTTAACACTGAAATGATTTTTTGAAATACATGGTTAAATATACCTAGAAAATACATATGAATTTTTTTTAATTTTTTCCCTTTTCCTTCTGATTTCATGAGAAATAAAACATTCCTTGCGTTCCTTTAACATTTGTTCCCGGTGGGCAAGTCACACCGAACATGAACAGCTATTGGAATTGTAAGGATGATCTTTTCAGTCACAGGCTAGGGTTACTGTGTGTAGGAGTGAAGCTGGGCAAGCTGAACAGGAGACCAATTCCTGAGCTGGTGGAGTGGAGATCACAGGACAACAGAGAGAGGGGTGGCATCCTCCCTCCTCCCTGAAATAGAAGCTCATTCTCATCTAGCATCCTCGACATAATCTTGAAATCTAATAGTAATCTGTGATCAGTTCCTAACCCTAACTACCTCCCTGATAACCTAGGTAATATAAAAAGACAGGACAATGTGGGGAAAAAAATATCAGGAATAAAAGTATATGCAGGCATTAGGACCTGATGCTAAATGTGAGAATGATACAGAAGCATCTATGGAAGTCAGAGGCCAGTACCTCTTAGCCTGCCCTCCTGCTCCCCATTCCTGGACCATCACTGGGCCCCCACAGCTTCAGCATCAGATAAAAGCCAATCAATCATTGCATCAGTAAGATCACTGTTCCACATAAGAGCACAAAGAATCGGCTGGAGTCCACCAACACTGTGCAAATGCATGAAGCAATGATACATTTGGCTACAGAAGTGGTGTCATGGGGCCTGGGAACAGAAGTCCATGCTTTCAAGTGAAGAAGAATTAAATCTGTAAGGTGAGAATCTCATGAACAAATTATTCCTCATTCATGCCTTGGCTTTCAGGTGCACAGCTCATGGAGGACACACTGCATAATGCCATGACTTGCACACTATGGGAAAGGAGCTGAATTTCTACAGTACAAACTTCCACTAGCAGGAGGTTAAGCATAGCAATGGATGGTCTGTAGGGATATAAGACATTTCATGTGCAAATAAACAAGATTATAAGGGCAAGCTATGTACGCAGTGCATATTCTGTGGCCCCTGCTCAGTGCTGAATTCAACACAATGTCTTAGGCTCTGAGTCTGAAGAACATCAGTCAGTGTTCTATGCAGTGGCAGCTCAGTTGGGAGGAGGCCAGGGACAGTAGAATAAAGCCTCTGAAAACAAGAGGGTAAGAAAATAGCAATATATACTCCTAGTTTGAAAAATAGGAAAAGTACAGAATAATTCACAGTGATTTGTGGACAGCACCTTACCTTTCTGGGTGGGAAGAACATGGAAGGAGTGGAGGGGTGAACATGGCTATGTTCACTCACAGATGCTTAGACATTGTCCTTCCATGTAACCAGCCAGAAAATAAAAATGAAAGACACTTACGCTATGATGAAGGAGTCCTTTAGAGGCTTTAGGTGAAAGATACCTGTGTAGTAGATGTAAATAAAAAGGGAGAAAAGTCCCCCGATCACCACGTCTCCATCCTTGTACACACTGGTGCTCCTTCCAACCAGGCAGCGTTCATTTTCAAAATTACACACTAAGTGGGGATGCTGCAGGAGAAAGAACACAGTGATCCACAGGAGCATCTTAGGAATGTCTGCAAAGTCTTTTCTGAGTGAAGAGGATCCTTCCCGTGTCAGCCACATAAACAGATAAATCCTGTGTGTGTGTGTGTGTGTGTGTGTGTGTGTGTGTGTTATTGTTTTTGATGCAGAGAGACACTCTTACCCCCTGGCCCTAGTCTGCAAAGCCTCCCAGGGGACCCAGGTAAAATCTGCCACCATTTCCCTCTTGGTTCTGCATCTGAGGTCTAGCGTCCAGGTGAAAAGCACAAGTTGCAAATTATATTTATGTGTCATTCTGTCCACCTAGAGGTGCCATGACTCATCCAAGACCACTGCCAGCAGCATCCCAGGAGCTGCCTCCTCCTGGGCAGATTTGCTCCTCAGCCTGTTTCGAGGAGCAAATCTGGGACGTGATGTATGGACTGCAGTGGAGGTTCAGTGCTAGCTATTCACTGAAAAACTCTGCGATGGCCTCTTCCAGCCCATAACATCTGTGGGTTGTGATCCAGAGCACAGAACAAGGAGACACGCTCCCTCACACCTAGGTTTAATGCAACCACTAGCCACTTTCTGTATGCCCCATATTGTCACCATGATACTCCTTGTGCTGAATTCACATTCAAATATTTCTCCGTGTTGTGGGATTCCAAAATTGCACTGAATGCAGTAATTCAAATTCCTAATTCAACATCCATGCAAAATTTATTTATAACTTTTTATTCTAGTTTTTTTATTAATATAAACTTACAGTACCTATAGTGTAATTTAAATTACATTTACTGGCACACTTTAGATATGCACAAAAATCAAATACATTATAGGGAATTTGTAGCTGTCTACAGTACATCTTTTTTTTTCCTGCATTTAGGACAGGGTCTACAGGGTCTCAATACACAGATGAGACTTGTAGTGATTCTCCTGTTTTCAGCGCCCCAAAGGCTGGGATTACAGGCTCGCACCACCACGCCCAGTCTCAATCTCCATCTCAGAACTCCCCCAGGGTGCTAAGATTGAACCCCAGCTGCTGCGCTCTGCCTGCACAGGTGCTTTAGTCCTCTGAGCCCTTAGGTAGGATACATCATTTTTTTTCAAAATTTTATTGATAAACAGCAATGAGACAGTTTCAAATCAAATCAGAAGTACAGTTTCAACAAATAACACACTACATATATTCTTCTTGTGGTTAACTGCTGTACAAGATGCAGACTTGAGATCCTATTTACAAACACCATTAGAACAAATCATTCTATTTATTAAGAGAATGCAACTATATATCTATCCTAACCACTTTGATTACAAAGATACAAAATGGACATTCATCTGTATACCCTATTTTTTCAAAGTTCCGTTATTGAATATTATAGGTGTGTAAACTCAGCAAAATATTCTCAAAGAGTACAGTAGACCATAATAGCATTGGGTCTTCTGTTTAACTGGCAATGTCAGAAATTATTGACCTGAGTACCCCACAGCTCAACATAACAGCATGGCTTTACTTCCTATATTTCGTCTTCATACTTTTCTACTGAATGGTTAA